GAAGAGACTTTGGTAGGGGGCGCTGACCGATCGTTCATACGGAACTCACTCGTTCCGTTGTGCCTTAAGGGCTCTCTCTCGAGCCCAACCAGCAGCCGCACAGCGGCGCATGATATATAGGCAGAATGGTATTACCGACAAAGACAAGGGAGACTAGAATGGCCATTTCTGGCTTATTAGCCGTCGTCAGCCAGCCATTCCCAAGCCCGAAGTGTGGAACACTCGAGCCTCGAACTTTACTTTAGCATATTAATATGCACATCATAGACTGGCTATTGTCTGACGCGACCAGAAGGTATTCCCACTGCAGACCAAGTCATGCATAACTTGTGTGATGACTTTTGCCAGATCTGAGCTGATGGTAAAAAGGGGTTTTGCCTTCTTTGACTCTTTCTCGGAGTAAGAGATTTAGACCCTCAAGGTCGAAGTAATATGTGCGCCAAGGGTAAAATAAAAGGTGGAAGTGATAGCTTGAACGAAAAATGCTACCTGGACCATCACGAACGAGAATGTCTGCCGTGTGTCCTGCAGCATGGCGGGTGTAGGGAGGGTGATTCGAGAACGAATTAGTTTATGGTGAGAGCCGACTTGAGCAGCATCTGTCGCACTCTCTTCTCTCTCACCCAACTAAGGCCTAGTGGCAAGACTCAGTCAGGTGAACCGGAGGCAAGATTGGACGATTCCGTATGATACATAAAACGCTCTGGAAATCAATCTGTCAACTAACCAAACCGTAAGGACGATTCCGTGACTGCTCTCGGTGTACAAAGAATCAGTCGCTGCTAGGTCTTTCTGAAGAATCCGGGACGTCGAAGCATCCACCGAGAACCTCCTCCGTGCAAAGATCGGAGATAGCTGCGCGCAGAATCCTCTCACAAAGGAGTCTGCAATCTGCACAACTAATTAACACAGAAGCACGTTCAAGCAGCAGGCAGGAGATTTTGAGGAAAAAGTCTGCAGATTTTAGTAACAACCTTGGGAAAACATGTTTGCTGGCAGCATGGGAGAAATACACGGCTAGTTGGAAAACAAAAAGCGCACCAATTTAAAGGGAACATTGCTCTTTCGCCGTTATGCAGATTTATCTGGACGCCTTTCTCCTCTTCTGACATGTATTACTTCGATATAAGATGGAATGTCCAGTCCAAACACACTTTGCGAGTTGAACTTTGAGTAAAGGCGGAACATTGCGCCAAAATGCATTTGGAGCCCATTCACGAAGTTCGGCGTCAGGGCGCCCTAAAGATTCTGGTAGAAGCACGGTGACATTCAATAGGCAGACACACCATTTTCCCAGACAGCATATAAATTGCTACGCTAGAAACCGCATTGTAACTTATACAACGGGAAGTGAAAAGGCTAAAGCCTTGCTTGTTAAAGCCTGTACTGTAGATGCTGAGTCCATCTGAGTCTTGGAACATTGTGAGTGGCTGCGAACCAAGGAGAGTTACAGAGTCATTAAGACACATCTTATCTGATTTCGCTTATTTTGCACATATTATCTGAAATAACGGGGAGGGGGGAGCAAGTTGAATGCATAGCCAGCAGTAGCCTTAGAAACTTATAAAGTATTGACTGAGTGTTTCAAATATTTTTTAACTAGAAAAGAGGGAGTAGAAAACGAATGAGCAACGGAACCAGTCTAACTTTGATCCACAGAGTAGACCATACCAATTCTTGACGGGGTATATGCAAATATGTTGACCTATGTCAGTTGCAGTGGGTAAATACAATGCCAAATTTGTGGACAATGATTTCGCAGCTCGGAACCCAGTTCAAATTGATTTCTTCTGGAAATTACCAAGTCATGAGATGTAACACATGAAAGTACATGGAAAGTGTGCTCGCAAAATAATTTTAAAAGGCATTAAGTCCAAGTCTGCATTTAAGATTATTCCCGAGACTTATAGAACACACGGTATATACCTTCACTGGAAGAAAGCCCTAGGAAAACAGGTCTACTAAAGAGCAAAACCAATCGAAATATTAGTGAACTGCTCTGCAAGCCTTGTTAGGCGCCTAAATGAACCTGTGACTATTAGATTGCACTAAAGACGTGCATTTTAGGAAGAAACCCATAACATACGAACTTTCAGAGAATATTATGTGAGATGATAATGCAATTGGTGTACATATCCAGAGCCAATGTAAGTGTCACGTGCTACAAAGTCAAGCAGGAAGTTGAAAACATTCCCAATCAGAGATATTGACGTTCCGAGTACGATTTGCTCTGAACGTATACTATATTGCAATGAATTCCACAGCCCAGCTTACGTCATTTCTTCTCACATTAAAATAAATATTCTACTGATTATGTGCTATTGACAAACCCGCGGAATAGTTTCTAAATAAACTATTGCGTCTGGGTATCAGTCCAAAAAATGACCGCAGTACTTATTGCACTGTTTAATTTCCGAGGAAATTAATGCGCGAACTTGGAGCAAATTCTTCGGAACAGTCCTTTTCAGGCGCAGGCTGAGAGCTGTTGCGAATATCTGAGCTGAAATCTATCAGCTGCTGCGGAATTACCGCGTAATATTCACAAACCATCAACAGGCAGTCAGTAGTATACAAGTGTCTAATTACCTGCCGCACCTGTACTTGTCAGTATGGCAAATAACTACAGTGAGTGACCGATCTCATGAAATGTTGACTGAAATTCTGAAATACGTTTTCGATTTGGAGGGATTAGTTAGGCACGGTTGTAATAATAATTATCCTGCGACATAATCCTATATTATGTCGGACTCGGCAGGATGTCAGCTTTTGAATGCACTGCATTTTTATCCCCTGTAGGAACTGTACTTGGAAAGAAATGACTACTTATGTAGCATGCATTTTTCCCATTGATTCGATGGTCTTGAAAATTCAAATATATTTTATAGAAACCACCATCAAGCATATTCTTTCTTTCACTCTTCTGATAGAAAACCACCTCACCTTCATTTTTTATACTCGAAGAAGGAGTATAACTAGGTTTTATAAGAGTTTTCGGTTAGATGGCAGTTGGTAGCCAGGATTGGGGAGGGGGACTGCGAGGTCCCTGTCTTGCGGGAGTGGTGGGAAAGGGGGTTATATGGGTGGAACAAGTAAAAGTGCTGGTGGAGGAATGCTGGAGTTTCTGGAAAAAATAGTTACCAAAAGAAGTTTAGGGAAGTTTTAGTAAGTTAAGACGTAAAGCTAAATACTAACAAAATCTCATACGGAAAACCTTACTCAAAGGTTCTAAAACTTTTCTGGAAAACACTAAGTCCAACCCTTACCTGAAAACTAAACCCTAACCTTAACCTAAAAATTAAACTTAACCCTAACCTGAACCCTGACCTTAACCGTAACCCTAAGCTTAAACTTAGCCCTAAACTTAAACCTAACCTTAACCCTAACCTTTACCCTAGCATTACCATTAACCCGAAACCCTGACCGTAACCCTAACCTTAACCTTAATCCTAACTTTGACCATAACCTTAACCCTGATCCTAACCTTAACCGTAACCCTAACCTTAACCATAACTTGACCTTAACGTAACCTTAACCGTAGCCCTTACCTTGTCCGTTAACCATTATTCGTTAACCGTTAATCCTAACCCTGAAGCCGAAATCCAACCCTAAAGCCAAACCATGATCATAAATCTAAACCCTAATCCTACCACTGAAACCGGACTCTTTAACGCAAATCCTAATCCCCAAACCGAACCTACGCCTAACCGTAACCCTCACTAAACCCAATAGCCTGACCGAAACGACTGACCTAACTCATGCAGTAGAAGCACATCAGTTCTCTAGACAAGGCAAACACACCTACTGATAGCAAGTAAATACGTCGACAGTATCAACGTACGGCGCCTGGCTACCAACTGCGATCTTACCGAGTTTTCAATTATGAGATTTTTTAAGTCCGTACAATGTCCATTCATACAACTTCGTACCTGTCCGTTTGCCACTGCTCCTCATGGAATGTTCAACATGGTCCGTATCCATAGCAAAATTTTATGGACTCTTAATGGTATCTTTTTAAAGGCAGAGGATAATATGTGATTTTCTGTTCGCAGAGCGCATACACCTTGTAGACTGATCAGGATCCAAACCATTTGGGAATGAGAAAACTTTTTTAAAACCCAATTTCACTCCCTCTTTGAGTATAAAATATAAAGATGACGTGGTTTTCTATTAAAAGAGTGAAAGAAAGAATATGTTTGATGGTGGTTTCTATAAAATATATTTGAATTTTCAAGACCATTGAAAATCAAGGCGAAAAATGCATGCTACATAGGTAGTCATTTCTTTCCAAGTACAGTTCCTACAAGGGATAAAAATGCAGTGCATTCAAAAGCTGAAATCCTGCCGAGTCCGACATAATATAGGATTATGTCGCAGGATAATTATTATTACAACCGCGCCTAAGTAATCCTTCCCAATCGAAAACGCATTTCAGAATTTCAGTCAACATTTCATGAGATCGGTCACTCACTGTACACAATTCAATCACTTATTCTTAATATAAAAATCACAAACAAAGCATATTACATCGACGGGTTAAGAGAAAACCGTTATTTTTCTTCGCTGCGGTTTCGAAAAAAGCTCACCTTTTAAATTTTCTCATCAAGTCCTGCCACTCTGAATCTTCTAGGTTAATATCTGCCCGTGTGTATTCAAAGAGTGATTTACTGAGCTCTTCAGTGACTACAGTCTGTTCGCTTGGAACTTCTTCCTCCTTCACTTTCGCAGGAGTAGTTGGTGGTTCCCTGCAACCTTCACTGTCACCAAACGAGTTTAGTTCCTGTCTGTTTCCTCCAATCTGCCGCCAGAAGGGAACGGGGTCATCAATCACCGTCTCTTGACAATCGGGATTTTTCTCTGGCGAGAATGCTGCCGACGCCAGGGTAGCTAAGAAGTCCTTCTCACCCAGCAGACTGGCCAGCATTTCGCTGAGGACGTTTCCGCACACCTCAGGGGAACACTCCAGGTCCCTCTGATGATCCTGTTCAGTGACCAGCTGATCATCATGCGGCAGCGGCGGCCTGAATGTTTTGATAAATCGAAGGCAAGGTCAAGGTCATTAGTATTATGGGAGGTCCAAGGGCGCGGTACTCCTTAAAAAGTCGGGGATCTGAATATACCACTTGCCTTGCTTAATCTAGTAATTATCAAGCCTGCACACCCTCACACTTGCTACTGTCTAATCAAGGATTAAAAAGTGCATTTAAAAAGTTGGAGGAGAAAATAAAACGGTCCAGTTTTCCATCTGAACTATCTGTATTTACCAATTTCGGGGTTTAGAATACTAAAGCACTATATGATTAGCAATTTGTTGAAATCCCACAGGCAAACCTTGGGGTCCTGCCTGCCTCTTTTCCGTATTTCACGGTGAAACCGTTCGATCACACGTGTTTAAGCAGGTGCGTATGAAGATCCACCCCATCAAATATCGCTCTCGAGAATGCAATAAATCGATTGAGGTAGCAGAGTTTGTACATATGCAATGACAATGACAAATACTAGAGTTACGATATCGCTTGTCTTTATATGTTATCATAACGTGAGTTTTGGGCAAAGGGTTTTTATTGCTGCGATCCACGATTCCGATTATCGATCACTTCTTCGTTTTGAGTAGAACTAGGGGGTCACATCATCCTCAATAAACTCTGGTTACAGAGCAGGTTAATAAAAGCAGGCCTTTCACAAAAATGGGCAAGGCGTATCTGAGGATTCATTATAATGATGCCTTTAGGCAGATGCCGTAACGCAAAATCAGTCTGCATGTCTTAGGAGATGGCGTCGTTTGCACAAAAAAATATTCAACGACAGTGACAGCAGCGTTGGGTTGAATTATTCGAATCAGGAGCTAACGTCAAGAAAATGCAGCGGGATCTTTCACTATACTTCTGGAACATGGGAAATGAAGCACAACAACGCGGTTAGCAACGTAAAAAGGAGCGCGAATGGTGATGGATAAGTCTGCCACGTAAAGGTAGCGTGACAGTGTGGGGAGTGAAATGAACAACCCGAATATCTACGGTATCTTAACAATTCCACTGTAAAACGTACTCACTTCTCCTGTGTCAATCAGCAGTGGCAGTAAGCGAGCAAAAAGTAACAAAATAATCATGTTTAAATTGTTTACGGGGCTATCCATGCTTCCTCACGCTTCATCTCGTCGTAACTCAGTGACCTCGCGGTAACAGTGACCACTTGTGTCTCCCCCAGGGGCCATATATGCTTCCCACAGACCGGTTTTTTGTCTGGTTTACGCCTTCCTGACCCCGCTAAATGACGTTCTTCCACGCCCGCATCGTCAATTGGCTGGGGGACAATCTAAAAAGAAGGACAAAAAATAACATATTTTGCATTTCGGTAGTCAGAAACTACCTTACAAGTACATTCTGTGATGATGCGACCTTGTGTGATAGAGTCGATGACGCGTTGGTGGGCATGTCAACGGGCAGGACACTGTGTAGGACATTACTTATCGACTGTCTAGGGTTCATTTTTGAAAATAAGCCCGTTGTTATCGTCAAATATTTGAAGTTTTATTGAACTTGGAAGGTTAGTCGACCCGAGAGACCATGCGTTGTTAGTTTAACTGGGATTATTTACCTACAGTCTCTTTAAGTGAAAAAGTTGGCCTTCTCTTCCATTGTCTAATACCTAGTCACTGTAACCCAGGAATTTTCGTAAAAGTTTTAATACTCATGAGAAAAACCGCTACTGAGACCTACCTTGCAAACAAAATCCATATCGAAAAACTTGGGTGCAGGTCCTCCATGTACATGAAAGGTAATCTTCACCGTTTGACCGAGCTCGATTATGCCTTCTGAGGGTTCCACTGTGCAATCCTGAAAGTAAAAACGATAAAATAAAGGTAGGATGCCTTCGGAGGACAATGCAATTACAACGCACACTGAGTCCCGCGAATCGACTTTCGCAGTTAAGGTTAAAGTGGTATCTCGTTTAACTTTCCCAGAACATGTTTGGCTCCTTATTTCCGACATCTATTTGCCCTAGGAGATGAGATCGAAGGGAGGCACTCATTGCGGTGCAGACCCGTAGCTTTAGGAGTAAACATCCGTTAGCAAACAAAATTAGCTACAAGAAGTTTTGGAACGTCCCGTTCACGGGCCCTGAGACATCGAGATGACAATAAGTGGGGAATGCAAGCTGTTTGAACGACTCAGAAGGAATACCAAACTCCTGGCTTTAAGCATAAGGTGTCTACGACCTCACCGGGAGGCAGGTAGGTGTTGGTGGCTATGAAAGAGAACCGTAAGTGTGGCATGCACTGATTTGTGTCAGAAGGCTCTCAGAAACGAAGTAATCAGGGGGTGGAAAATGGAGACCATTTCGCTCAGATGAGGTGGCCGTCCGACTGACTGCTCACAGTTTAGCATAAAGTCACACATTTGTACATGAGGCCGAGTACGCTTGACCGCTGAAAAAGGAATGCTCTTTGCCGGACCTTTCCGGTTCATGGTTGAACCCCCAATCAGAGACAGAGAGAAAGAGCGACATGGAGGCACAGTGAAGATGGGTATTTATAGGACACAGTCGCTCTGCTACTGCATTCACCCTGGCAGACAGCGTTCTGGACATCACCGTTGTTTTTAATAAGTGCCTGATTGACTACGTCCGGTTGATTCAACGTGCGCCTTCGGTCAGCACTTCATGAGATCGGTCACTCACTGTAACAGTAAGTCTAAGGATAATTTGGCAGTCTTCCTCTCCACTACCCTCCCTCGTGCTCACCGCGCGACTGATTACTTTGCACAGGTAGTCTTAGCGATCCACTTGGAAGACGAGGTGATTTCACTTGATGACCGGACAGCCAGATTGAAAGATCATGGTTTAAGCAAATTGTGACTCTAGAAGTTACTTTTGTCTTGTCCAACATGACGTTGTGGCCACGTTGCGGGATAGGTTACGGCATGATGATTTGCGACAGTCGTCCTCACTGCAGAGATAGAGTAATCTTTCTGTTTCTCCGGCCTAGTTGATTTGTCTGTAGTTAAACCACATTCAGTAAACAACTTCGGAAATTTCTTGGAATAAGAGTGGGTGCGCGCCATTGCGGGTGTCTCCCTCTGATTCGTGGAAAGTACCAGGAACGAGTTAGGTGAAAAAGGCATATGACGGCCTCAGGGGGATCCATAACCACATGCGAGCTCTCCCTAAGATAAGGGTTTGATGTGGTTAATATCCTCTTCCTATATTTATTGCGCCGGTTGACGAAGTTGTGCTAGCGTCCATTCGCTCTATATGCCTACTGAAACTACTGAAATCACGGAAATCTTGTCTGTCAGTTCATTGCAGTGCGTCCCAGCGTCCCATTGAAACCTCCTCATACATCCGGGTTTGTGGCTGATAGGATCGTTGCTGTTGAACCGCAGTGTTTACATCGTATTTGTCGCTTACTCGAACACTGTTTCTTAGAAACCACATCGCTAACGGCAGACCAGGGCATCACAGAAAGTCAACTGGTTGATCCCTTTCGCCCCTTTTGCTGAATATAAGTCCAGGAGGTGTTTTGTAAATGGTAACTCCCAATTTCCTGCAACGATGCCGAAATCATTCTTCATGCTAAGAGCCGAAGACTTCGTTCAGTAATGTGAGAAAATACCGACGATAACCATCGTTACTCCTTCTCGGCTATAACTTCAAAAGTCGACGAAACAACTGACGTGATCCTCGTCTGCTCGTAGTCGCCACTGTCGAGCGTTAAGCACGCGTGGTGGACAAAGTTCAGAACTCGAATGATTCGCATGCATATGGAACGACTCTCCATGTCATCGCATTTCCCCCCGCAATTGTTAAATTCTTGGGTGCACGAGCATAGACGATATGATGTCTAAAGCATTAATGTCGTGCTGGGCAGTAAACTTATCTCTTAAGTTTTCTACACTGATTGTTTTGACAAACGAACAGCGATTTTAACAAGTAATCAGACGTCTCAAACGCCGAAGCAAACACTCTGTCACTGCTTATGTTGGTGTGTGTGTTTCGGTTCAATGGTGAACTGAGGTGTGGTACCTTTCTTTTTTACCATTGGACAGACCCTAGGATCAAGCCAAAAACCGTTTCTTAACTTCCTGCTAGAAACCAATCGACATCCGATTTGGAACCCGAGTTTACCATTGCCAAAAAACATCGACAATTTTGTGGAGGTTTCTTGCACCATGTAACCTTCATCTTGCTTGTGTCGTCCTCCTGTTTGAGGACCGAGGATTAAGCTTACAATCAGTTAAGCTATGGTCACTAATAGGATAATCCAAGTTAGGTGATCGAAATGTGAAAATCAGACTGAGAATCCATCAACATGTGTGGTGCATTTATCACGCCCATACAGTTAGGACGAAGGCCATAGACCAAATCAATGATTGCGTCACACACTATCGCCAATACAAACACTGTCATTAACACGAGGTGGATTAGAATGGCCTGTACCAACACCTAAGCTATTTCTGCTGCCACATTTTTTCCTGCTGCTAAGAACAAATTGGAAGAAAACTCGAAAAATTGGGAAGAGTGACTTCCCTTCCTCCCTATCTCGAACATTTCAGTTCCTTGGAAGTTGACGAGGGTCAAATATCTGGGCAGGCGGCGATTACTCGGGCGCAGATTGCATTATAGAGGGGACTTGTGTGACATTCAGTCCATCCTTACTATCTATAGCCAGCATGTTCGGGGGACCAAGATACGCGAGACAAACGAGCTACTTACCTTCCGCGACAACTCATTACTCAATTGATGCTAGGGCATTGTCGTTGGCGTTGCATATGCAGCCAAAAGAACAACATCGTTGTGGCAGGGAAACTAGTTGCAGGTGGCATACAGACGGAGCGTGCTCTGGGCAGTTAAAATGCGACCGATATGACGGCTTTCAAAACTATTTCTATATCTTCAGTGACGCGCTTCGGGACTCCGGACAAGCCGCTCTCCTTTCCTGTTGTTCAATAACATCCTTGTCAGTGTGCGTTGTAGACGAATATTGTAAACAATGTTTTCATTTTCGCGAAGATTCCTGTGACTTCAATAGTAGTGAAAATTCGATTCCCAGGTGGCATATCAAAGGAAGAGGGGGCGTTCACCGGGAGCGGTTTACTTGAGGCCCGACGTTTCGAGTAGTTTATTCGTCTACCCATCTTCAGAGACTGGGAAGTCCTGTGCACAGCTCCCCTTATAATGGCGCCCTTTGTTCAATGCGTGATCCACCAATGCCGCCTGTGTGGCTGCGTCCAACCCGCATGTCACCGTGACCTGAATCGCCCCCGTCGGCCGCGGAGATGACTGACGGCCCCGATTGTCCCGCGCCGTGACTGTCCCCTGCTAAGAAGGTTCGTAAAGTCAGATAGGGGGGAGGCAAATTGATGTGGCGGTGGACAGAGCGGTCGGCTTCTTGCACTTGCCTTGCTGTGTGATCGCCGCCCCGGCCCACAATCTCAACGGCGTCAAAGTTGAAGATGTGCCCCATTTGCACGGCATGGGTTGCTACCTCCGATTCAGGTCACGGTGACATTCGGGTTGGATGCAGCCACACAGGCAGCATTGGTGGATCACGCATTGAACAAAGGGCGCCATTATAAGGGGAGCTGTGCAGGGGGCTTCCCAGTCTCTGAAGATGGGTAGACGAATAAACTACTCGAAACGCCGGACCTCAAGTAAACCGCTCCCGGTGAACGCCCCTTCTTCCTTTGATTCCTGTGACTATTGATATGAGTCCTTGCCAAGGGACCTTGTCCCCTTGGAGCCTTCGCTAAATACTGTTGACAGCAGTTTATCAGAGTCGATTTATGGCAGTAAACTTTTCTAGGCTAGGAGAGTTTTAGATTGGTAGTCTGGCTAAAGGGGTTTCTCGAACTGTATTTCGAGCTCTAGTTGTTTCTGCCCCCGCCATGCAATGAAAAATTTAGGACCGAGAGAAATTACTTCTACGAGAGTTTTGTCAAGATGTAATGAAAAATAGTTGTGAACACATCGCTCTGGATTGCTCCGAATGGCGGTCTGCTCCTTCACTGGTTATGCACTTTTTAGAAGCTTTGTGCCCCTGGCCTCGATCCTCTTATTTCTGACTGTCTGTACATAGTCTTCAAACGTCAGTCTCTCGAGGCTCCCAAGATGGTTGAGAGTCGCTGACTTCTGACACATGTTCCGCTGAAGTTTCTAAATTTTAGCACTAACTGTCTTAAAATGATTTTCTGCATATCGTCTCAGTGTGGCTTAGGTGGTGGAAATATGATCCCCAAAATAGAAAATTTTTAGACCTTTGGTTTGCCTAAATATGATTGACGAGCCACAACTACGGCAGCAGGAAGTTCGCACGATGCTAAGACAATCTACCTATATGGCAACCCTCGTCTACGAACTACTTAAAAGGGTTCTTTGTCTATGAACTTGGATGTAAATTTTAATTATAAAATTTTCAGGAAGCAGGTCAAACATGTTAAAATATAAAACTGCGGTCCGTCTAAGGAGAAGCAGCTGGGATCTTTTATTCCAGAGAATAACCATCTGGGGTTGCAGTTCAATAGATCAGGGACGCCCAGAAGACGAGATCAATGCGAAATTTGCTTGAAGGATTTATAATTACTTAAAACTCAAGTGATATGCGTTAAAACTACCATGTTTTCTTCAAGCCCTTAATATAAATGGCCAGTCATTTGGATGACTGACTAATTCTATGATCTAATTGCATGCGAGCCGACCCTCTGAGATGTACTACTGAAAAATACTATAGAGATATTTAGAGCTTTCAGTCAGCCATAACCAAACCTCAGATCGTTAGGACCTACGGTTCCAACACACACTGCTTGATTATTAAATATTGAATCCCGCTCTACCATTGAAATACTGTTCAACGTTCTGACGGCTGCGAAGAAGGAGACACGACCGCTGGAACAAGAGCTTTATTAGCCTGACGACTGCAATCCAAGGTACTTAAGGTCACATGGACGTTGAATTTTTCCCTGAAAATGCTGTCTAAAACTCTCACTGGCAATAATATAAGCAGGAACATGTAAATAAACATGATTGCAGAAAAAGAACTTTGATCGCTCGATGCCAGGCTTCTTACTCTGAAGAAGGAGAAGATGCGATCGCTGAAACAGGAGACTTACTGGCCTGATGTTTGGGATTTTCACTCGCACCCATATCAGAGACAGTCCGTAGCGTCAGGCCAATGAACCTCTTGTTCCAGCGACTGCATCTTCTTCTTCTGAACTGCTTACCGGAACTCGTTCATTCATTCCTATCAGAATGTTCACAGGTATAATCTATGGTTAGAGCTCAACTCCACGATTTCATTGAGGGAGATAGCTGTTGGTCTTCGCAAAACGCCATTTGCAGGCAATTTAAGTCTAATTTTGCCGATATTAAACAGCTATCAGTTGACCCAGATAAAGTCGACCAGAACCATTTTTCGAGGTGTTACCCAAATTCAGTAGGTCACACTTAAGCACTAGTTGTTGTTTCAACATATTAACACATCGAAAAAACCCACCTTAGCATATTCTGCAAGAAGGGGCTCCCATCGAAACAGAGCGGGCCGAAATTCGTCCTCTTCCTGAGCCGAGACTGATCTCCGATAGTTCATGAACATAATGCTGTGAGTCGAATTGTGAACTGCTGTCAGCCCACAATCAACAAGTTTTTCAGAAAGAAAGAGACACTGCCATGGTAGGGTGAGTGGGCACAAATAGGACGCTGAGATATTTCTTACTTCATATAGCTGAAAAGAGGAACTTTCAGTTAGTGTCAGCTCAACTGTAAATCTGAAGCAATACGGTTAGATCCTGGCTAGAAATGAAAAATGTCAGCTACCTAAATAATAATAGGTTGCGCACGGGAATATGGACGGCCGTATAACAGGTGGCTTTGCCCTTAATTCCAGGGTTAGGATCAGTGTTAGTGTCAGGTTTAGGAGGGCTAGGGTCAGGATTATGAGGCTTAGACTTAGGGTTGGAGCTAAGATTGTTAGAGTTAGGGTAAGTGTTACGGCTAAGGTAACGGTCAAAATAAGAGCACGGAATAGGAACACTCCTGGAACTTAGCGCGACGTCGCCTGTGGCACTTGGTGGGAGGGCCTATACTTCAGTGCTTGACCCAATAAGATGTACTAATTCATGAAATGCGTTTTCGACTCAAAAAGATTGCTTAAGTAGGTTTGTAATGTTAATTGTCATGCAGCGTAATCGGGAGGTCGGCTATTGTACCAACTCCTTTCCGGCAACCTACAAAAGCTACACTATGTAAAAATGACTACTTAATTGTATGAATTTTTCTTAGTTAGTTTCCTTGCCCTTACAAACAAATATAGCTCATGCAAAACACACATGAAAATATTCCTTATTTTATTAATTTGGTAAAAAATTACAATCTCTTTATGTTTTATACTTGAAGGAAGGGTGCAAATCGGTTTTAAAAAGTTTCTGATTATGAAATATTTAAGACCGTGAAATGCCCGTTCATAAATCATCACCTCTCTGCATTTACTAATGTCTCTTTTAAAGTTTACAAGATGACTCAAATACACTGCTAAATTTTAGGACTCAAAAATGGTCACCGCTTAATAGCGTATAGAAATGTATGAATTTTCGTGTACGGAAAAAATCAGCTTGTAGTTTGGAAACCCTGAATGCAAGAGCAACGGATGGTCAGTTTCAAAATTATTCGGGGATTGGAAAAGTTTCTTAAAACCAGTTTATAGTTTTACTCATGTTTCCTATTAGACATGTCTGAATTTATAAGGGGATCGAAAATCAGTGAGAAAAATTCAGATTTCTTAAGAAATCGTTTTTATGGGGGTTTAGCTTTTGCGGGATGCCGGAGAGAAGTTTGTATAAATGCCGGCATGCCGAAGTAACTGAATTATCATGGGATTATGCTGCATGCTAATTAATATTACAACCCTACTTAAGTTATATTTTTGAGTCGAAGACGAATTTCAGAATTTCCGTTAACATTTCACAAGTTAGCACAATTACTGTATGCCAAACTGACTAAACGTTGGTCCCCAAAACCAGGACTAATAACGGGAAGAACACAAGAATGTGATGCCGGATAAACAAAAAGAGCTCGGTCACTGAGAGCTAACTCTAAATTAAACTATGGACTGTGACTGAATTTAAAACGGTTGCTAAATTCAGCCAAATTTTCGTCTTCACCACGTGAAAAAGATGGAACACACCTAGTATGAAGAAGGACCAACCCAACAAAAGTGTACGCTGGACTTGGCCGAACTGAATTATTTGATAATGAACTCGGGCGTGAGGTCCAAAAGACCAAATAAATATATTTGTTTTCTCCCAGATCAATTCTCTGTCTTCTAATGAACTGAATAAATACTGTCCCTTGGGACGAATGCAAGTTAATTGGTAAGTTGCCGATGCCCGTCTGCAAAAGGTCGACTATGATTCTTAATTTAAATATTAGATGCTTCTGCCCACGATGAGAGGGGTTAAACGCATCGGTCGAGTGTTCGGCTGAAGTAAATTATCACCAGGAGGTATTTCAATCGCAGCCTGTTTATCCAGTGCATAGTTGAAAGCGCTAAGGGGTCAGCTTCTATCTTTGGATTCAGTTCCATTTTTGTGGTGCACTGAAGTTGTGTGTCAGGCTAGTACGCACCTGAGGGCTCACATTTATTGGCCTCTATCACATCACAAATAGTTTTGTAATTATAATGTTTAATTATGTAATTTTTATTGCCGGTATCGTAATGCATGGCCTCACGACCTCTTCCAAATGACGCACAATATCGAGTCTGTAGCTGTCGCGACTCCTACCGAATGAGGTACTGTAGGCAGTCTATAGCTTATAAACTCTGATGTAAGGAAAAGACAAGCGTTTTCCAGATTGTGACTTGGAGAACTGAGTCGTCGAATATGAGGATGTCATGAAGCGCCAGTTCTTACTACAGTCTGCAATAATCGTCAGCTAACCGATTCATGTCTGCGACGAAGTTATAAATATGACGTTTAGCGAGTAGTAGGATGGCTGGGCCGTCGATTTGCTAACCACTGCTGATTCAAGCCGTATTGGAGATGCAAGAAGATGTTCACCACCTAAGCACCGTACTCATTCAGCTGTGATCGGAAGACTCATCATCTTAGGTTACGTTCTCTCCGCTAACTTTGTTGGTCGCGATAGAGTAATAGACCTCAGGAAGTGCTATGCAACTTTTGGTGCAATTTAGAACCATGTGCCAGGCTTGGCCATGCGGTCACTACCTCAGCTTAAGACATCAGCACCCTGACGGGTGTGCGCGTTTCCATAATGTAGGCAAGGCTCCGTCACCCTCATTACTGCCCCGAATTTAACTCTCATTCGGGTCAGAAGATTTCTTATAGCCTCTCCAGACTAGTTATCGTCGGAGGAAGTCGCAGAAAAGGACTGCCTTCAAGTCTTCCTCTCTGATTTAACTCCCTTGACCTTATTCAATTTCTCTCACTCGGAACACGGAACAAGCGTGTTCCGTAACCTGATCGGTTAACGTAATGTCAGCATAACATTGTATATATCCGGTCGAAACCGACAAAAAACGACCCTTGACTCAGTAATTAGGGACTTTGGACTTCTAACCAACAGGTCGCGTGATCGAGCCTCAGGTGTTCCACATCTGGGAGTTGAGGCTGACAAAAATGGCCATTCCAGTCTCCCTTGTCTTTGTCATTAATGATATACTGCCCATATATATGCGTAGATGTCGATGAGAGGTCCATATATTGTGTCGCGTTCATCATCTCCTGAGGAAGAAGAAGAAGAATAGAGGGCGAATTCATGGATAAAATAAGATTTGAACTGGAGTTTCGGAGACCCTCTCGTTTCCATCATCCGAGTAATGTGTTGGCTGTTCCTGTGGCCTTGATTTCTTCAACCTTGTTACCTGCCAATACCCGTGCTCGAGGCACGAACTATGACCTGCCCGTTCGCCGCCGATTAGCGCTGACCCCTCCGCGATTGACCACCGGTGGGCTCATGTCAATTTTGGCACCTTTGCGGCCGTCGTAATGGCTGGTGAGCCAGCATGCTTGTCGGCCTCCCCCCGTCACTCAACGGAATGATCAGTTGTTGGGGCTCAGATGAGTTGATATCAGCCTCGTGGGCGTCGCGGTGAGGTGGCGTCCCATGCCGGTCACATGACCCCCGGCCGGCTTCCCTCCTACTTTCCGCTGGCATAGGTGGTTTGACAAAAAAATGCTCATAGTCTTATATCTTCAAGCGTTTATACGCATTGGCGAACATTTTCTGAAACTAGCGTCAACAAGCTCTAATAGATTTAGGGACCTCGAGGGTGAGGGCATTTTCAGTCACAGCACTACATACGCTTAAAGAAATGATTAACTTCAAAATAAACATGCTCAGTGTTTTTATTTTTTGGCGAAAACTTACGTTATCTAGCAGTGTTTTTCCTTCCAAGGTAAAACATTCTTTGGGGTGGGTCAGGTGGGGGTCATAGACTCGAAGACTGACATCCGCAGATATTAACTGATGAGAACTCTCAGTTAATGGCTGTTCACCCAAAGCGCGGTTGGCATCGGCGTAAATAATAGTAAAGCGAGCCTGTTTGTGGGGAGCAAATGTTCAGTCATATACCTGAGTGATTAACTTATAATAAATAGGCGTAAACTTCAAAAGTTAAAATTCTGAGTGAAAAGAAATTTTGAAGATTGCAAAGGCTGATTTACTCCAGTTAGGATATGTGAGCCGTTTCATGAGATTTGTGGATATTCGAGTGCATATAGTGTGTGCACAAAAGCTCTCAAGTCACGAACTGTGTCTTCCAAATAGTTTTCTTCTAAATCTGTTCCAACACAGCAAGTGGTACGTTAGTGAGGTCAGAATTCTAGATTAATTCCTACTTGCTAACGGGTTACATTTTGGTTAACAATAGTAGCCACCAGCTGCACGTTTGGGTGGAAGGAAAATTACTGCACAAGCCATTTACATGCTTTTATAATGTTCGAGGAATTTTTGACTTCAGAATATGTTCAAGGGGCCACATAAATGAGTTTTTGCACTTGGTTTGCAGGCATTTACATTTACGGTTGAGCTTATAAGCTAGGGAAATTGGCACACTTTGTCTTGAAGTACGTGTTTACTTCGTAGATATTTGGAGACAGGTAAGTTTAACCACTGGTCAAGGAACTGGGCTAGTGTAACGCCTAACAGTTGAACGTTCACGGATGCAACCTTTGTTTACTGTAATGTACTTAGGAGTATGTGAGGTACCTTTTGCAAGGACTCAAGAGTTATGTCCCCCTCCTCTTGGGAAAGCGCGTAGCACATGATTAAAAAAGGCTAAAACACTTTTGAAACATAAATTCAAATCCTTAAAATTGTTTAAGCTGAAATACCTTGTATTCACGAGATTCCATAGGCCTGAATATCCAACTAATTGTCGCTATCCCACCTGGCAGAATCGTGTCTTCGGTCGTTTGCAACTGAATGAGTGGATGATCAGCACCAATCTGATTGGAGTAGCTGTCACAGGAAGAAAAGGAATCTTCGCCCTCATTCAACACGGGTTTGATGCCTGTCACGCGAAAGCGAACGGGCACTGCACTTGGATTTTGTAACTGAAAGGACTGGAGTACGCCTTTGCGATCCGCCTGCATGCACTGCAGAGAGATTGGCGGCAAAGTGAGGCTTTCACAGAGCGGCTGGAGGTGAGGTATCCCCGGTTCCAGCGTCAGTGATTTGAGCATGAACTAAGGCATTTTCAAAAAAGAACAAGAACTTTATTGTTTGGTTGAAAATCAAAGAATACAAACCCGGTAACAGACGTCTTTGGCTAGCTGATTACACATTATCAGCTAATTTTTAACCTGAGAAGGCACTACCTACTACTTATTTGTGTCTAGGAGAATATAACAAGTATTATTTGTAAAACTGCCCATATGCCTTTGAGAGGTTTGACCTGCAGGCAGCGGGAGTGCATCTCAGACTATACGGCACTTCCTTTGCGATTCAAAGGGCTTGCGGTGGTGCCATGGTGGGGTAGGCGGAAGGTGACCCACGATGCATCGTGTGAGGCACGCGTAGACGAGTGGCCTGGTCCTGTCAGACGCTGAGCCCCAGCTCAGCATATGCAACTTGACAAGTTCGAACGGTTGGCCGGTGCACAGGAGAATAAATAGAGGGAGAGTAAGGTCGACTCTGGGGACTCCATCCCCATGGTACTTCAGCGACTTTTGCGCCATAATACAGTAGGTGGGCTAACTCATGAAATGTCAACAGAAATTCCGAAATGCACTTCCGTTTCGAAAAGATTAAGTAAGTAGGACTGTAAAACTAATCATTGTGCGGTATAATCCTCTATTAACTCAGTTACCCCAGGACGCCGGCTTTCGAACAAACTTCTTGCCGTCTGCATGCAAAAACAATACCCCGTAAAAAGGACTACTTGATTACCATGCATTTTTTCATTGATTTTCGATGCCCTAAAGATTCAATTGTATTTCATGGAAAACATGCATAAAAATATTCATTCTTTTGCTCAGTCAGTAGAAAATTACTTCTTCTTCCAATATTATACTCGAGTGAAGGGTATAATTTCGTTTTATAAAACTTTTCCAGTTCCCGAATAATGTTGAACCTGACCTGCCGTTACACTTGCATTCAGGGTTTCCAAACTACAAGCCGTGTAATTTCCGCGTACGAAAAACCGTACACTTCTCTACGGTATTAAGAGAAGACAACATAGGTTTATTAATTTTAGTAGTGGATTCGAGACATATTGTTAAGTGTACAAGCCATATTGGTAAATAATGAGACATGGCGTTTTATGAAGGGCCATTTCACGGTATTAAAAAATCTCACAAATAGACAATTTTTTCTAACCGAATAAAAAATTGGAAGAAGGCGTGATTTTCTACTGAATGAGCAAACGAATGGATACTTTCATGCATGTTTTCCATGAAATACAATTGAATCTTTACGGGCATCGAAAATCAATGAAAAAATGCATGGTAATTAAGCAGTCATTTTTTACGGGGTATGGCTTTTGCATGCAGACGGCAAGAAGTTTGTTCGAAAGCCGGCGTCCTGGGGTAACTGAATTAATATAGGATTATACTGCACAATGATTGGTTTTACAACCCTACTTAATTAATCTTTTCGAAACGGAAGCGCATTTCGGAATTTCTGTTGACATTTCCTGAGTTAGCCCACCTACTATTTGTAGATCTGACGCTCACGAAACTCGCCAAACTTCGCTGCTTGGGAGGTTTCCATAAGATGTTACAAGCCAGACCTCGCAGTCGGTCTTGTGTGTGTTTTGTCGAGTGGTCGACCGGTGCATTGAGGGTCAGGTTCAATGGCTCCTCCCTAACCATGCTTCTGGCGCACCCTCGTGCGTGTGAGATTTGAGCCGCCCAATCCCTTTGTGTGAAATGCTGGCCAGATCGCCTGCGTAGCACGCACAGAGGAGCTGCTCACAGCTCTCACAGCCATCTCTCTTAATCTCAACAGCACTTGATTGACCGTCTCGGACGGCTGACGGGCGCGCGCGATAGGGTAGGGTGAGTCATGTCAACCCTTGGGGGCGCAGTTACTAAGTATAAACAATCTGGCGCGCTTGAGAAATCACGGTGTGCTAAAAGCTGTGGCTTGGAATGCGGCCAGTCGTAAATTCTTAGTAGTATCCTTGTTATGCTGTCACACATTCAGGTGCATTAAAATGCCCCTTGTTTCGAGAAAGGATACAAGTTTTAGAAATCCGCAAGCAGCGAACATTTTGCATGACTCAGAACATAAATGCTTAAGAAGATGCTAGTCCATGAAGACAATGCATTTTAACCATACTTGTCAAAAATAATCAGAAAAGTGCACCCTTTTAGTGTTGATCTTCCTCTACCTCACGTTAGCTAAAAGTGATTAAAAACTTTCTTAGCTGGAACTCGGCATGATAGCACAAAAATTGCGATTTAATGTTGGCGACCTAGATAACTGCCCAGCTCAATTTTGAGAAAATTTGTAAATTTGTCTTAAAGTGTTATATAAGTCAAATTTTTGAGCAGACCACGTGCTGTCCAGAGGGCGACATGTAGTGCAGTTTGGGAATGCGATCTTTTTTACGACAGTGGGTGCGGTGTTAGAAAGACCTAGTAAGACTACTTGTACTTGACGTCTTCTAATACTGCTATCGTTGATTTATCGGTTTAAGTAAGACCAGCCAGAGCTTTCGCGTCACGAAGATGTAATGCCCTCAAGAATTTTTTCCGAGGCATATTTTTCCTGAATTCTAACCTATTGGAATTTCCAGAAATTGTTTAGCTTGCGGTAAATATGCGGAGGAGAACTAACTCGCACGTCACTTAGGTCAAAATCCCCAACTCACGGCATCTGCGTAACGAGGTTTACGTGGAATGGGAAACTGATGTTAAATGTGAATTTGAAAATTTCAAGCCTGGGGTGGGACTGTAATTTAGTGAGAAACTTGAAATAGAGGTTGTTCACGAGTCTTTCCGTTCCGCACTTTATATCCCGGTTTGGCCCAGAGTCCCAATAAAGCATTTGCAAGTGTTTCTGGTAGAATTAGTCAAGGTATCTTAAACGAAAAAGGAAAATTATATGGCCAGAAAGTAAGCTTAATTTTTGGCATGCAATAATTCATAAGAGTCATGCTATAAGTGATATTGCACTGTTGGTTCTAACTTACATGTCCAATAAGTAAATGAAAGCCAAAAAATTAACACCAGTTAATTTTTTATCAACTATCAAGAAAGCCAACTTACCACAAGCTCTCGACCATTTGTAATTCTAACGCGAACCGGCAGTTTATGATGCCCCGATACATGGTGTCGGCACAAAATCCGGATCCTCACGCTCTCTCCACAGGCAAGTTTGCAAATCCGTGGGACTATTTCAAAGATTTCCGCCTCCTCTACCATCATCTTTAAAGAACACAATAAAACAAGGTTTTTTCAAATCGAAATGAAAAGTTTGCCAGTCATAGACGCTTGCTACCATAAGGCCCTTAAAACAAAATTTCTGCCTCCATATCCCCGAATGGGTCTATACAATTCATCTAAATTTATTTGGTGAACAATGATCATGGAGAATATAAATCACATCTAGACAAAACTTCAGTATATTTCCAACAGGAGTTCATGAATGTTAGAGGAAAAAAGGTGTGGTGCATGTGGGCAAATTTAAAATTAAGGTTTCTTAATGTCGAAATAACGCTACAGGTCACGTAAAATAACCGGATGCATCGGAATTTGGAAATAAAAATACCTAAAGGTCTATTTGTCTATATTCCCGTTTTTGTCCAGATTTCTATGAAATTCCTGATGTTACTAACCCAACCTGGGTGACATGCATAAAAAATACAGCTTATTTATAAGATGCAAAATAATCTCGATAGCTAAATACCAAGTTCTGGTACGAACCGAATACTTATTGTATGACGTGGAAAGTTAATTTTGCGTCATATGTACTTGTGCTTACAATGATGACTAACACATCTTCCAGTAGAATCTTACGGGCATATTTCAGCCTTTAGTCGTTTGTTACTGCTGTTTGTTTTACGGAACTGCTGCTTTCATCAACTAACTCAAAAGCATGTCTGTTTAAAGTTCATGTTTATCTGAAATATTTTTTTCGTAAAAACATGTGAACAGGGCCGCAAACATTGAGAGAGCAGTACCCGAAGATGCTTCTTCGTTTACATAGTTGTTTAAAAGCGTATATAAACGCAGCACTGGACATGCACCTATGCCCCCCATGTACAGTCTTCTCGACTATATCTCGGCACCGAGCCCAGGTGGGAGGGCAGGAGGGAGTGCGGTAGATGCTGTGAAAGTCTGTCGCCACTCTAAACTAATTCACCCATAAGTCACCGTCCCTTCTCTCGCCATGCTGAGGAGCACACGGTGGACATCGTCGATTACGACGGTCGAACTACCGCGCTTGCAATCCAAGCATTTGAGAAATTTGTGGAAAACTATCTGAACAAGACTGTTTCTGGGCCAGAGGCGAAGAGGTGACCAGTGAACTGTTGGGGCCATTTGACTCCCTGATTGACTTGGAGACTAAACCGTCTGAAAGATATATAATGAACTTCGTTTGCTTATCTGACACTTTTATCTGGTGTGCGCTTGAGTGTAGTCACAAGAAATAACCTCTGCCTTTAAACAAACATAATGGCCTTGCCTTCTTTCAATTACGTATAAGCGAAAACGGATTAGACTTTGGGCAGAAGTCTGTCGAAGTCCTCAATGGAATCGTACAGCAAAGGAAGATAAACACCCTTTCCAGTTGGCAGAGGATGATGGTTAACCAGATGTGCGTAAAGTAACCGACCAGGCGAAAATCCAAAGAATGTCATTGAACTTCCCGTATACTTCTGTGGGGTGAAGGCTCAGTGACTTAAACACGTTTCGTCTAGACGGTGTCGCTGAACATCGCTGGGGAAAAAATGTTACCTCTGACAAAAAAAGATGCCGTGGTACGTACTCCATGTGAAAATGCCATGTCCCATCAAAGAAGTACACGGTGTCTAAGCATTCAAAATGGAAGCTGCCGTCTGTTTGGTAACGTAGTTCGGTCAACCCCTGGATATAAATTCAACTGAGCAGGATTTGGATTGACTGCTTCAAGTTTCAGAAATTTTAGTCCCCTCCTATTTTATTGATACACGCGGTCGTTTTCACAAAATTCCGCAACGAAGTTCCCAGACAATGGTTAGGCAATCGGGTGGGAATGACTTTTACTTGCATATCACGGATGCAAGACAAATAGTGGTTAATCTATACTTTCCGGGTGGCAGCCGGCAAGGCGAGTCTGTGACTCGCCCGCCCACAGGCAAGAAATAACCGTGTTAGTCTGCCTTGTTGTTTTCAGTCGTGCGCCTATCTCTTTTTGTAGTTTATCCGAATTAAATTTTGTTCCAGGCACACACAGAGAGATACCGACAGTGGGGAATCACTCCCATTAGCAAATTAGAGCATTCTTTGCTACACTAAATCTGGCGCGCTTAAATCTATCACCACGCACCAAGAGTAATGTTTTAGAAGGCTGTGGCCTGACTAGATGACTCGGTCGTTCTCGGAACTGAGCGTCAGGCCGCGATGGTTCCTTTTCACCGTAGCCCCTGAGGCACTCTCATGCGCCTGACTTCCGAGTCGCCCTCAAAGAATCCCGGTCACTTGTTGCACGCACAGACGGGTTGCATATCTTGGTCAGCCACTACACCTGAGCACAGATCTCGCCTTCTGGGCACTTCCTAGCTATCGGAGCATGGTAAAAGAGTGAGGAGAGAGTGCGGTGGATGCTGCGCAAGTCTGCTTTAACTCATGAGCAAGTCCCCTGTACTGCGACCACTCAATGTGGCTGCCAGTGTGCGTCGTCGCTTATGACGATCGAACGATCTTTGGATATCCCCACTAATCAGTCATATGTGACTTCGAGTTCTGTCAGTCCTGCCCAAATACACGTTGTATTCTTCCGCACGGAAATAAGCTAAGCCTTTGCAAGCTACTGAGAGCAAGTGTGCTAACCCGAACAAGCACCACAGCTGCGTTATGGTTTAAAGCATTATTATCCATAGGACCACTGATAAGCGAGCAACTACACCAGTTTGTAGAAAGTGTGTCGAACGGTAAAATCGATGTTATACGAAATGGTCTACAGTCGAGTGTTGGATTGCAGTAGCCTATGCCAATGAGGCAGCTAAATGCCCAGGTTCACTATAGCCGCAGGCCCACTCTGACCCTCGTCTTTACCCGCGCAGGACGCTGCACGCGTCCACCGCCCTCGGCGCCCCCCGGATGAAGTGAGTGACCTTCAGCGCACGTTGACTGCGCCAATCATCAGAGCTCGGTAACAGCCAATGAGGGCGAGCAGTCGGCTTTGCTCTCCTGACCAGTGCTGTTGACGCACCACTTTAGTGACTTCGCACAGACACTGCTCTACGGAAAGGAACAGCCTTCTAACCACTACCCCCCTGGTCATGCGCTTTAAATTACACACCCCTGTTTAAAAACGTCGTCCGGCAGGGCCTCGTAGCTCAGGTGGTTAGAGCGTTGGCTGTACTAAAGTCTTCCCTTGCTGTCATGGTTTCCAATCCCACCGAGGCACCGAGTTTTCCACAGTTGGGTCAAAGTGAAAAAAAAACGTTTTATAGACCGGGGTTGGTGACGGTTGAACTGTCACCTGTTCCTTGGTTGTCTCCGAGATGTACGCCATCTCGAGCCAGTTCTCCCTGGGTGGTCGCAGCTGCGAGGGGAAAAGGAATTGGACCTCGGCTGGCACGTTTCCATTGTTCTCTAGACTCAGGAAAACCTGAGTGCTGCCGCTTCTTTCCTGGGCCACCAGGAAAGAGTAGAGTTCGTTCGCCGAGGCGGCGTGGTGTTGTAGGAAGGCTTGTGCGTCGGGACCACCGAAGTAGAGGCCGTTTTGGGTGCCGCGCAGTTCCTTTAGCTGACGATTGCTAGGCTTGCTGCCATCGCACTGGGGCGCCACACCAAGTTGGATCTCAAAAGTAGGCAGCAGAGAGAAGCGACTGGAAGTGCGCATGTCAGTGGATTGTGCCCGTTCCGTTGCGGTGGGGTGAGCTTGTAGGCATTCGTTTATGCTAGATGTTATAAAAATTACTCATGATTTGCTGAGATAGGTGAAGTCTCTTGTAGATACAATTCGATGTTGGTGCAAAAGAGGCGAAAGTTAATAAAACACACACTTCCATGGGTAAATCCGCCGGGTGCTTTACCCTTTGGCAACGATGGGTGTAGGACCCTCAATTACCCTGAGCTAGCCTGTGGGCGGCGTCATAAGTTGAGTGGTGGTAGAAGGGGTTTTAAGGGCGGAGCAACACACAGGACGGAGAGCAAGAAGAGACAGAAAATAGATAAATTTCTGCCGAAAGTCTTATCGTACGCGGTCATTTGGTAAAGGAATTGAGCGCGACAATTAAAAAAATAAACGAAAAGCAATTTTCAGGAAATAACGAACTTTGAAAAATGTGCCGCTGGTAAGTTTACATTTAGTCACTGACTAAAAGGGCTAGGTTGATACTTTCTGGATCCTATGGTCTCATATACACAATCCTCTTAAAGCCATCCTTTCTGTTTTATCCATTTTCCAGGAATATTTTGCTCTTTCTGCCTTGCTACCGAAATATGTGTGTATTTTGAGAGAAAGGCTGAGACAGAAAATTCTGGACAGTCGCACATACCTCGGTTTGCGTTTGAAGACAGAAAAAATAATTTGGAATACGAAAAACTTTATAAACACATTAAAAATTGGTGATTACCGATTCAGGTGTAATTCACGCCAGGCTCGGTACCGACCGAGTTTTGGTGGCGGTCCCTCAACTACGACGTCGGTGAAACGTATAGTTGGATAGACGCCACGAAAACAAACTGTTGTGAGGATATTCCTTTTCTCCTCTTCATTAAATTTGTCTAAAAGGATAAAACTCCTCATATGATTGCTTCCTACGAGTTTATAGATGCCTGCAAAGGCGATCAACAGGCATAAACTCTGATCATTGCCTTCGGGATTATGCATAACGTACGATTCGTATGTAACGGGGCAGTTAGGTTACTGGAAGAGTTTAGGGGAAAGCTGACGGAGCACACAATCGGAGACCTTAAATGTCCTTCTAATTATGTTGGTTCATCAGGATGGAAAAAAGAGGGAAAACATTTCGCCTGATGTATGAGGAATTAACTAATAAGCTTCGATGTAATTAAAAGGCGGCGATATGCATCACTTATTCGGATAGGAGAGATAGTCACCCGCGGTAACAGAAGGGATACGAGAATGCATACAACTTCTATTGCAGACTTCATCCTACAGTAGTTGTCAGTCTACGACAACACGGTTCACCGTGCAGTAGACTGGTGGGTTTCCTAGCTTTAACGAAACAGAGGAATTCCAAGTAAACCGCCTTCTCAGTAGATTGAAGCAGTGTTTTCCCGGGATAAATTTGAACAAGGCGAAGGCGACAAAGCATGCAGAATTTAATGACGTCATAAATTTCGAGACCTCTCATTCAGCTGCACACGGTCATTGCATAGTTATATTACAAGGCAAAACTGTTCAATCAACGATCGACCTAGAGAGCTTAAACGTAATAGGTAACCTGAAACGTGGGTCTAGTATGCGCGTGCATATGGTGAGGGGGGGAGGGGGGGGGAGAGAAGTCATCCAAGTATGAGAGAACTGGTGCGGCGTGATTTGGAGTGCAACGTGCGGGGAGCATTCAGTCATGCCGGGGAGAGGGGAGGGGGGCGGGTGGGGGCGAAATGAGAGGGCGTACATGGGAACAGGGTTTCGTCCATAATCGATAATTACCATGGCAGTGCCAGGTTTATCACATGGCCCAGCTGCTTACAGAGTTCTGGTTTCCTCCTCCGTATTGCAGCGGCCTCTGCAGCAGCCTCCCCCTCCCCCCCTCACCTTATGCACCCGCATACTAGACCCACGTTTCAGGTTACCTATAACTTTTAAGCTCTCTAGGTCGATCGTTGATTGAACAGTTTTGCCTTGTAATATAACTATGCAATGACCGTGTGCAGCTGAATGAGAGGTCTTGAAGAAGGAGACACGATCGCCGGGACAAGAGCCTTATTAGCCTGACGCTTCGGATTCCTACTCGAATCCATCATCAGAGACAAAAGAGCAGAAACGGGTGGTTGTTGCACAAGGGACTGCGGTATTTATAGGATGCAGCAGCCATGCTACCGCCTGCCTATGAACGTTCACGGCTTCCCCCTTCATCCGGGATTGTCACACTTGGGGTGATCATTGCTTGATGGCCGACATTCGAGTCGATAATTGCTGCAATTTCATCACGTGCGTTGGATGTTGGCGTGATGATTGCTCGACCATCTGATGCGTTGACCCGGGTGTTGGGAAGAGTGTTCACCAGTGCGCTCCCCGCGTGGCCAATTACTCCGCCTAGACGAAGTCTCAGCACGCTGTATTGAATGGGAAGATCGTTGCACTTGTTGATGGACTGGGGGCCAGTAAACCATGATTCCAGTAGCTCTCGGCTCACTCGGTTGTCACCTCTTGCGAGAATTTCGGCCTCATCGAATTTAAATGTGTGGCCGGGTCTCGTCGAATGAGCCGCAACTTGGGAGGTGGCGTCATTTCTGCGCAACGCTGCCGCGTGTTCGGCCATTCTCGTTCGGAGCTGTCTTCCGGTTTCTCCGACGTAGTTGCTTTGTCCGCAACTGCACCAGATCCGATAAACGACTCCAGACGTTTCTAGCCGTGGCAGTGGGTCTTTCGGTTTCATGATCAGACGCCTGATGGTTGCCTCCGGTCTGTGTGCCACTTCAACCCCAAGTGGTGCGAGAAGGCGGCCGACAGCTTCCGAAACGTTCTTGACATACGGAAGTGCCCGCCAAGACTTGGTGTCCGTGCGGTTAGGCCTTTCGTCCCTTTTGCGTATGCACCGGTCGACGAAGTTGCGCGGGTAGCCATTGGCTTTGAAGACCCGTCGGAGGTATTGTAGTTCAGCAATTTTGTCTTCCGGCTCACTGCAGTGCGTTTCGACACGCCGATAGAGCGTCCTTACACAACTGCGTTTGTGGCTGATTGGGTGGTTACTGTTGAAGTTCAGTACTTACATCATATTTGTCGCTTTCCTGAACACTTTGGTCTTTAGTCCACCACAATCCTTGCGGCATACGAGGACATCCAGGAAGGCCAGCTGGTTGTTCTCTTCCTCCTCCATCGTAAATTGAATGTCCGGGAAGACGGCGTTGAGATGTTCTTGGAATGTCAACACCTGATCCCGTTCGATGACGACGAAGGTATCATCCACATACCGGGCCCAGAATTTCGGTCTGTGGTGTTGGAAGACCAGCGACTCTAACCGTTGCAGGACCGCCTCGGCGATGAATCCCGAAATCGGCGAACCCATTGGTGTGCCCTTCACCTGTTCGTAGATTGTCCCGTCGAACGTGAAGTACGTCCTGAGACAGAGCTTCAGGAGCTGAAGGATTTGGGCGTGTCCAAGACGGTTCTCCGTTTCATCGTATTTGCTTTGTAGTAGCAGTTCAATTGTCTCGATCGCCAGGTCCTGGGGAATAGAAGTAAAAAGGGATGTAACATCAAAAGATACCATGACCTCATTTGGATGGATGCTTACCCCTTTGAGTTTCTCCAGGAATTGTGCTGACGAAGAGACCGTGGTGTCTGACTCAGCGGTCAGGAACTTGAGACGCCGGAACAGCCACTTCGCCAGTCCGTACGTTGGAGTCCCTTTGAGCGACACGATGGGTCGGAGAGGAGCGCCGTCTTTGTGCACCTTAGACAGGCCATAGAATCGGGCCAAAGCCGTATCTTGGGGTCTCGCCATGCGTCTGTCGGTCGGTGTTATTGCACCTGAGTTCTCCAAGGCCAACAACGTAGCATTAATTTCGCGTATCAGCGCCTTTAAAGGGTTCGTTGCACATGGGACATAGAACTGTCGGTCCTCCAGTAAACCTTTGGCTTTTTGAAGGTAGTCTGTCCTGTCCAGTACAACTGTGGCGCGTCCTTTGTCCGCTGGCACGATGACCAGGTCTTTGTCGGCCTTGAGTTCTCTAAGCGCATCACGTTCGACCTTGGAAAGCACTTCCCGCGGCCTGTGGGCCATCAGGAGAGACGACACTTGGTGTCGGATGAGGTTCTTAGTCTCCTCCGTTGCCTCCGTCTGACAAAGGATTGATTCCACTGCTGCAATCATGTTAACGGGTTTGGCGTCAGCCGTGTTAAATGACGCTTCGTGCCGTAAAACCTGCATCTGATCCTTCGTCAGCTCCTTTGATGACAGGTTGTGCACCTGTTTGTCGTTTCTGGGCGACGTTGGATTGGACAGCTTTCGAAATTTGTTCTCCAGTGCTGCGTCGCGTATCGTGCTCTGTTCGCGGGCTTGTTCAGCTATCCTCCGCCTGAGCAGATTCGTACCGATTTCACCCATGAACTCACAGCATCTGGTCTTTTCTTGGTCAATCCTTTGACGGTACTTACGAAGTCTCGCATGGCAATCTTGGAGGAGCACTCGGATCATCCTTCTGCCGTGCTGAAATACCGCTCGTCTCGCCAAATCCGTGTTAACCGGTGGCTTGTATGAAACACATTTCGGTAACACATTATTGTCGAGACACCTGTGCAGAAACCGGATCTGCGAATACGTAGAGGCCTCCCGAAGGGCGAAGGTTTCCCATCGCCGGGCCGATCAGAGCGCATCGCGCCCAAATACATTGCCAATAGAAGCGAAGAGCCGAGTCCCAGGAAGTAGTCTTGAAGAAGGAGACACGATCGCCGGGACAAGAGCCTTATTAGCCTGACGTTTCGGATTCCTACTCGAATCCATCATCAGAGACAAAAGAGCAGAAACGGGTGGTTGTTGCACAAGGGGCTGCGGTATTTATAGGATGCAGCAGCCATGCTACCGCCTGCTCTTGTCCCGGCGATCGTGTCTCCTTCTTCAAGACTACTTCCTGGGACTCGGCTCTTCGCTTCTATTGAATGAGAGGTCTCGAAATTTATGACGTCATTAAATTCTGCATGCTTTGTCGCCTTCGCCTTGTTTAACCGCCTTCATCTTGAAAGCCGTGTGTGCCCTCCCAAACTGGACCACCGGACGCGAAATCTGTAGTAATGGATTTAGATGTCAGCTCTTTCAGTAATTTGTAAGTCGTCCCACCTATCGCCTTTAATTTGCACTGTTAAGGAATAGCATCGTCGGGATTATCTATTTTGCAAATCGAAGGCCCTCATCGCCTACCTAACTGACTTAATCGCCAAATCCTTAGCCTTTTTATACTTTTATAACATCTACATTTTAAGATAAATACGCTGCTGTATTCTTCGAGGCATTAATTTTTAATGTTAATACCTAGTAGTTAACTATCTCATGAAACATCGACAGAGTTACCTGAGACATGCTTTCAATTAGAAAGTGGTACTAAGGTGGATTTGTGATATTGACTTCTGTGCAGACTAATCTCTAGATATTTTAGTTACTTAGTGATACCGGCTTTTGGATGAGCTTTTTTCTGGTCGCTTGCAAAAAGATATGAATTATAATGTGATCTTTAAAACCACAAAATTTAAATTCAAATTACATCATATCTGTGCGTTTATTAATGCTATTTATGAAGCAGGCAACAACGTCCAAATCTATTGCAAAATATCGTGAGCCCCATGTAATATCTTTTAAACAGTGTACGGTAAATCATTGCACAGAGTAGAGAAGTGTATGAATTTCTCTAAGCGGAAAGTATAGAGCATGCAATTTGTAAACTCTAAACGTAAATAAAACTACAGATCGGGTCCAAAACTATTTGGAAATTGAAAAAAGTTTTGAAAAAGCAAAATAGCTTCTCTTGGAGTATGAACTTTGAAAGGGGCGTAATGTGCTACTAAATGAGTACGAGGAAGAATATCTTTGTGTGAGCTTCCTATAAAATATATTTAAATTT